AGTTAGAATCATCAGAAGAGTGGCCAGTGGGCATGGTTGTTGGATACGAGACTAGAAGTGGTGCCTAATGTGAATGCACACTAGTGGTTAACTGGTAGCTGTTTCCAATGTTAAGTTTCAAGTGTCAGATTTGCCAGTATTTCTTTTGTGTTGCTATTTACATCAGTTTTATTTTTTCCAAAAATTAACAAATTTTAGGTGTGTTTTGCCTACACACTGTCCACAACTGGGACAAGGCTATTTGTCAGAAAACGGCAGCAACCGGATCTCATCGCCCGCTCCCGTTGTTCCCACCTCGTATTCATTCCCCGAGCACAAGTCCACCGATCGACCTCAACTGATCCAGTGCAGCGATCCACTGAAAAATTTTCAAACCTGCGGTTCCGGTTGCCCAGGTCATTTTGTTTTACCATCTTTCGGATCTTTTTTTTCAGCGCAGCTGGAATAGTCCATGAGCTTTTTTTCCTCCCTTTTCCGGCCCCTCCCCAGCTTCTCTCTCAGCTTATTTTTCCGGGTCATAATTCGGGAATGAAGGCTATCACTAAGTCGACCTCTCAAAAGCAGCAAGTATTTGTAAAACTGTTGTGTTCAAGAAGTACACACAACTCATGGTTTTTTTCGAATCAGAAAGATTCAACACAAATTTCAAAAGCTGGCTGGCGAAAGCTTTCTGTTAATCAAACGTTGCTTTTAGCCGGTTGCAACAATCGCGTAGCAGCGTTCTGTGGTACTCAGTGCGTGGCAGGATGCTTCTGTCGTAGTCCATACATACTACAAGACGCATACAATATGAATTCGCGCTGTGTCTTACCGCATCAGTGTCAATCGCTCACAGTGCAGCAGCAAATCTGTTCCGATCCTAGGAAGCAGTGGACCCACTGTTTTTCGCAGAAGTGCTTCTTCTGGCTTTGTGTTTTGCTGATTTAACAACTCTGAGGATGATCTGGCAGCACTTATATTTTTCGGGATGCAAGAGTCATATTGCAGGATTCTTTTGGGAATTTAAACGATTTTATCTCTTTTGATTTATTTTGATCAAGGTGGCCAAATGCGTGTTTTGAAGGGAAAAAGTCACAGACTGCATTCCAACATTTACTTAGCTGACCCCTTATGCCACCTCTCTGTTATTTCAATATGAACTAGAGAGCTGGCACGGCCATGCCGTTTGAAAAACCTGCTGGGGTGCTTTGGGATCAATACTATAACTGCCAGTTTTCTGACCAGTCCAGGACATAAATTTCATCAAAATTCAAAACCCATGACACGTACCATTCTAAAGCTGTAATCTCTTCTAATTATTGAATACGCTACAATAGATTGGCAAAGCGTAATTCGTGAAAACTGATTTTATCTGAGTCAAATTGCTTTATACGTAGGTCTTGACCCAAAATACTCAAGTTTGTGGCTTGAATATTCAAGTTTTTTGTTTTGAAATTTTTAAAAATTGGTCTGAATTTGAGTCTGGTCTTAATCCTTCCTTTCACGCTCTAATTTGAATTAATGCATTGCAGATGTGCACGCAGCTGCTCAAATCCAGAAGCAACATGTTCGACCGGTGATTGCGCACCAGGATGTCTCTGCCGTGAGCCGTACGTGCTGTACGATTCACGTGACCCGAACTCGCGTTGTGTTCTGCCCACGGAATGTGGATCGCCATGTAGCGACCCATTGAAGGAGTATCAAGCTTGTGCATCATCCTGCCCAATGGGATGCAATAACCGAGTTCCGCAAACTTGTTCGCCTTGCGTTTCCGGATGCTTCTGCAAGCTAGGTTAGGCGTTTCTTCCAGAATCTCGTCAAAAATTTCCTGATTTCTAAATTAATCCTTCATTATTGTTATTATTATAATTATTATCATTATTGTTATTGTTAACATTATTACTATTGTTATTCTTATTATGAGAAAACTGTAGCAAAAAAAAACCGAGGAGAAGTTTGTTTTTCTCAAAAAATATGATTCGGCGTTGATAGAAATCCTAATTTTTGTGGACTTTTTTTTCAAACTCTATTTTTCAGGTTTGGTATTTGAAGATGCCGTAAACTGGCGCAACTCTAGATGCGTCCCGCTGAATCAGTGCCCATCTACAGCAGTGCCTTCTTCGCTACCGATAAGTTTTCCTCCGAAAACTGCTCAAGGTTTTTAGCCGTACACAAACTTTCAACTGTCTTTGCCTATAAAAAATTGA